GAGTCTCCACATCTGGAGTCCAGCAAGCAGCGTGGAGCTTCAGACTGCTCCACAATCAGGAACCAGAAGTACCATGCAATCACCAAAGGAATCACCCTTTCCTTCTTTATCCCCCACCCCACCGCCACCCTTTTGGACACCAGAGAGTTTGAACACTAATTCTATGGGATAAAGATGAAGGAGGGAGAGAAGGAAGAAGGATGATGATATTGCTCTCACTGTGCATGGTCAGCCCACTGACCACAGCCACAGCAGGGAGACCGGAAGAGGTTTGCATTTCAATTCCATGGCCCTGGACAACTCCACTCATGGGACTGAGCCCAGTTTAGGACCTAATATGACTCCAGGGCTTTTTTTTTTTTTCCAACCAGAAGTGGGAAGAGACATCCTGGGATTTGCTGGGGTTTATATCTAGGGACAAGAGGACTCATTTCACTGAACAAGTTAAATGGAACCAAAGGAAACAAAAGCCACAGGGTTTTTTAAAAATACAGTCATGTGCTGCAGAACAGGGAGGGGTTGCATGGATGACAGCGGTGCCATAAGGTTACAATGGAGCTGAGAAATTCCTAATGCCTAGTGAGGATAAACCTGCTGTACCGGGGTATGAAAGCACAGCACATATAATTATGTATAGTACATAATGAACGACGACAAACGGCTGTGTTCCTGGTTTATGAATTTATAACACTACTTTGTTCCTGTATTCCTCCTTATTAAAAAATTCACTGTGAAGCAGTATTCTGTGTTTCCTGTGGCAGCCTCACACATCTTCCCTGCACAAAAGGCCCCATGGAGCGATGGATGACAGCATCCAGGTTTAAGTAAGAACCTGATGATGTGTGCACAACAAGGAGGTCATGGGGCAACATCCGTCTTGGGTCACAGCCCATCACTAAGGGAGTCACGACTCTACATCCTGTGAGTTCTGCTTGTTCATCGGATACAGGCACACGCTGGGTGGTGTCTCCCCTCCTAAAGAAGCACCTGCCACTGGGCTTGCACCATCCTACCCAGTTTCTGCCCTGTCTTCCTCCAAGTCTCCCCGGGACATCTCAGCCACAGACTCTGCGTTCACTCCCTGCACTTCTTCCTGCGCCATTCATTCTTCCACTCATGGCCATCTGGCTCCACAGGCAAACGCTCCTTTAAAATGATCTCGCCAAGGTCCCAGTGAGCTCACTGCTCAAGCCAAAGGACGCTTTCAGCCTTCCTGCTGCATCTCTATGACCCACTGCCTTTCCTTTTAGACTCACGTCCTCCTACCTCTCTGATCATTCATTCCTTGTGAATCCCCTCCATGAAGGCTCCCTTGGTTGCAGAAATATCACTGTTTTCCTCCTCATTCTTTAATGTACCTCTGGGCAGTGCCACTCTCTCTCTAATTATTGGCAAGCCCTGACCTCTGTTCTGGGCCCAGATGCCACTCACCCATCCATTCTTTCAATAAATACTGCCGGCATGCCAACTAAGTACCGGCTGCTCATTAGGCACTGGGGACACATCTGTGACATGAACAGCCATGGCCCTGGATTCATAAAGCATACAGCTTAGCGGGAGTTAGAGACAGGCCCTCCAGCTAGCAGAGCCCAATAATATATAGAACAGTAGTTGCTGATATGAGCTCCTTAGGAGACTGGATTCAGGGCAGCTACAAACCTCACGAAATACATGCAAAGTTCTACCCACTTCCACAGGCTCAGTGGAGTATGAGCTAAGTAAGGCTTTCATCAAATTCTCAAAGAGTTCTTTGACTCAAAAAGAGGTTAAAATGTACTGGCCTCATAATGGTGGGTTACTGAAACAATGTCACTCTGGAGAGTAATCAAGGCTTAAGAATCAGATGTAGGATCCTCTCTAAACAGAGGCAGGAGCTGGGTCAGTGAGTCAGACTCTTGCAAGGACGAACCTCAGCAGGGCAGGGCGGCTGCGGACACAAAGTTGAAAGTGGGAGGGCAATTTGGACAGTGTCACTGAAGCTGAAGACTAGGGCTCTGAGTGACACTTTCCCCAAATCCCCCAGAACCACAAAAATACCACAAGCCAGCCACAGGTGCCCACAGCTCTCAGGGTGAGAAGGATGGGCCAAGGCTCCCGGGAACGGCAGAGTCTCCAAAGGAACAAGTGCACAGCAAGACTGAATTCTAGGACCTGGGTGTGGGGGGGTGCTGATCCTCTCTCAAAACATGTTGCTGGGTCCTCACAGTTTTGGAGAAGAGAGATTTATTTTGCCAACATTTAGAGGGAGGTCAGGGAATTTCACAAAGCTTTGGATTTATGGCTTCTTTTAAAATTCTTGAGGCCCTGACCATGTTGGTGACCCCAGATCCATCACGTAGGGGCCCCCATGGGTGGGACATGTACTCTTTCAAAGCCCCAAATCCAATCCTCATACTTGGTCCTGGCCCTCTGTAAAGGCACCTAGGAACTCCCTACATCTGAAACTCTGCTGTAGACAAATGAGGGCTGGGATAAACAGAAAATCTTGGAAGATAGCTATTCACCAGGAGAGAGAGAAAAATACATGAAGAAATGGGGAAAGAACTAAAACAGAAAGAATATACAGTCCCATAATGCAAAATGTCCTATATTATATTGCCTATTGGGAAATATAGTATTGAAGATGCATCAAACATAACACTATTTGGATTATGAAAAGTTCTCTTCATTTCATCCTTTACTAGAATGAAGCAATAACAATTGAAATTTTGGCACCATTGGTAGAAGGAAAAAACATACCTGAATGATTAAGAAACCACAGTGTGTCTGCTTAATAATATCAGAAGGACCCTAATATTTCTTTCCTATAAATAAATATCACCATCAACTACTGACAAATTAGGCATTTGATAAGCTAAGATACATGAAAAGATCATTGATATTTGATTGCTTTGTACATTAGAGATGCATGTAATATTAATGATCGTGATCACAACTATCTTCTTGAGTCTTTTTAAAGCATATATTAATCATCTGTTAACGGTCCTGCAGCTCATGAAATAGAAACTCCCACATCACTCAGCACTTTCACATTCCAAGACAGCCATTATGGATGCTGGCCCCGCATCCCAAACCAGCCCTTTCTCTCCACCACTAACACTTTCATTCCCCTATCAGTCATGGCTGGAGGCCAGCCTCCTACTGAGCATCAGGGAGGACACTTGGGAGAAGGTATAATTTGGCCAAAATAGGAAACAATGTCTTTTAAGTCCACCATTTGAATTTCATCCCTGTAAGAGCTGAAGATCAATGGATCTTCTAGTATTTGCCATTAAAGCTTTAAATATCCTTGTAAATTATATTTTGGCTCTCATGTAATACCTTAGTAATGAACCTACATTATGACCTACAGAGGGCCAAGATGGCCCCACAGCATTCCCTGAATGATGCCAGTGGTAACAGAGCTACAAGAGGGCTTCAGCCGAGGAAGGGATCAAAGACATTTGCTGGTGTGCAAATTCACCCACGAGGGCTTTATTCCCATGCAACTTCTCAGCTTTCAGTTTGTGCAGGGACAACAAGGCACAAAGAGTTCCTGGGTGCCATGGACTACACCCAACATATCATAAAGGGGAGCATTCTTTAATTACCCTCCCTCCTTGGACTGAGGTTGATTTAGATTCTTATGTGGTTAAGGCCCTAGGGGGAACAATGGCCACCTGAAAGGAACAAGGAAGACATTTTTGAGACTGTGACAGTGAAAAGACACATCTAAGAGAAATACTGATAAGCATCATTATCACCATAGTTCCCTGAACCCTAGGAGTAGCTTTTGTGTGCATAAAAGGCATCCAAACTTGCACTCAGCACAGGTGTCTTCATGACACCACTTGCCTTCTCACATTAAAGTGTAACTATTTATGTATCTACTTCACAATAAACTCTACTACACTTCTGGGTGGCTGCCTTACGTGTCTTGACTAAATTCTTTCACCAAGAGCACAGAGAGTCAATGACCATGGAGTGAGGGGCTGGTTCCTCACTACATCAGGGCCCAGCTTCCCAGTGACAGGAAACACTAACGCCATGAAAGGTTCTAAGTGTCGAACACAGCAGTCCCCACTAATCTGTGGGACGTAGGGTCAAAGACCCCAGTGGATGCCCGAAACCCCACGGTACCTCATCTTATATCTGTTATATTGTTTCCTATATGTACGCAAGATAAAGTTAATGAATTAACAAAGTACAATAACAAAGTTTAACGTATAGATTAGGCCTAGTATGAGAATAACACAACTAATAATAAAATACAGTAATCATAAAATATAGCATACTCAGTTATTTAAAACTTATGAATTGTCTATTTCTAGAATACACTAAATAGTTTTGAACCATGGGTGCCTGAAGGTAACAGAAACCACAGAAAGTGAAGCTGTGTATAGGAGGGAGATGACTGTATCCCTAGGAAGTCATAGCTGAGGAGGAATAAAAAGGAGTATTGCTACCGATATAAAACATTTAGTATGATGATGGGTGGTGGTTTCTATCTGGGATTCTGCTCAAGAGGTGAGGCTCATGGGAAGTGACTGGTTGCCTGGGTACAACTTGCTTTTAGGAGGTGGGGTTCGGTTGGGAGAGGTAGGTTGCTGAGATGTGACTTCCCCAGCTGCTCCTTCTCTCTCTGCTTCCTTACCCCCATGATGTCAGCCCTTCCTCCATGCTGTGTCTGCCTTGAAGACAGCTGACCATGGACTGAAACTCTGAGCCCAAATCGACCTCTCCACCTTTAAGTTGTGGGTGTCCAGTAATGTCATCTCAGTGACAAGGAGGGGACTAAGACACTCCAAAAGCTGAACCTGAAAACTAGCTAGAGAGATAAAATGCCATGTAATGTCCTCTCTCAGGCAGAAAATGATGATCTCAGGCTTCCCAGAGTTTCTGGGGTGCCGCGTACACACTGCTGTGCTAGCCTAGGGCAGAAGCTCCCAGCCTCCTCCATGGCTCACTGTTATCCTTTGAAATGGACACCTGCTGGCTCCTAGAGCTCACTGGCCACATACCTGATGGGGAGAGAAGGGTCTCCAGCATCCCACCAGTCCTTCGGGGGGCTGATGTACATGCACCACAGCTCCCAGCTGTACCCGTGGGCTGAGTTCTCGTAGCGTTGCACCTCAAAGTTGTCTTGCTTGATGTTGTCAATGGAGGGAAGGATCACTCGCTTCCGGTTCTCCTGGATGCGGGACAGAACCGGTTCAGCCCTGTGACACAGAAAAGGCCAGATAAAAAAATCTCTCCCCTGAGAGAATGCCAGGAGTGAACAGAAGCGACATAGCTGCAAGGCTGGGCTTTGGACAGGCTGGAACTCAGACGGAAACTGAGGTCCCTGGAGCCAAGTGACCTTCCCAAGTTGGAACACACATGTGGGCTTTGAAGTGTGTACACAGCAGATGCTGGAATCACTACAGGGAGCCTAGAGAGAGAACTCAGAACATGGGGTTCCCTCCCCCAGAAAGTGCCAAGCTTTTCTCTCTCTTTTTTTTTTTTTTTTTTTTTTTTTTTTTGATAGG